ACGAGGGCTGCGGCTTCCGGGGTGGTGTGGGGCTGCGGGCCGCGGCCTCGCGGCCGGGAGGCCCGCCCGGGTCCGGCCGAGGCGAGGGGAAATGTGATTTCGTTTCAGCGGGTTTCTTCCGGCGTTTCCTGTTCCGTGGCTTGCCCAAGTACAGTGCAAGAACCGAGACCAAGTTTTCCTCGATCCTGTGCCTACCCAGCTGCGATCCGCAGTCGGGGTCCCCTGGCGCTTTCCTTTCCCGACGCTTCTCCCCCCACCCCCCCTCGGAGGGAATTGGATCCTACCTGATGAGGCTAAGGAAAACGATTTTCTTTCCTCAAGGGAGGAAAACATTATTTGACGAGATTAGCTTGTGCACCTGAACGGCGCGTCTGGACATCCCGTCAAATCGTTACAAGTCGTGTAAAATTGAATTTCTCTTTATTCAGATGGAAACTTTATTTATTTTAACTCTAATCTTATTTGCATCTATTATCTGTATTCACCAAGGCTCTCTCCCACTACAAAAATGCAGATGAAGTAAATCTCACATAAATCCCGCCCATTTGTGTAATTGGTATACTAAGTGTTTATTTTAAGTGAGAATAATTTAGCTACAAATTTTCTTAAGGAATAACATTCTTAACACATTAAAAAAACTGAAAACTCTGATTTGCTTTTATGTTTGACAGTAGCTCTTGATTCCCATAAGAGGAGCTTGGCGAGTGCGGCTCGCTGGCGCCATCTAGGGCTCGGAGGTGGGAAGGCCGCGCTGTCTGCCCGGCTCGCGGCTATTAGCGCGGGGAGACCCACTTCTTCTGCGAGCTGCAGCGACCCAGCGAATCACACAAGGAAAAAAGCGAGGTTTTGTCTTCCAGTGGGGAACGAGTCTTGCTGTTGGGGAGGGGAGGGGGCAACTGCTTAGTGGCTTCCAGAGAAGGAGGTTGTTTCTGGAACGTGCTAACTGAAAATCCAAACAAAACAAAACATCCCGCTTGGCCCTGGACTGAGAATTGCCGCATGTAACATCCTTTTCAAGGCAACTTCAGGGTCTTCCAACTCAATTGACTTGCTAAACGCTGTTGGCGCCACAGTGGACCCCGGGATGGGGTCCTAGGGCTCAGAGTCCCCGAGGCCCTCATGGACCATCTGGGACCACTTGGAACCAAATTGACTAAACCAGGTCACTGGTACCCCACGTCTCCAGACCCACTTGGAAGGAGAGGGAAGCGAGGCGCGCGGCTTTCGCTAGCTCGCAGCCGGAGACTTCTGCTATGCCGCGGTCCTCCGGGCGATTACACTAGCCTGAGTCATACGCCCGGGGCGGATGAGCAGGGGCCGGTCGGGGCTCGCAGGGACCCCGAGTGCGACAAAAAGCCCCCAATCTCCTGGGCCCAGGCCCTCCAAAGGGTGCTCACACCCTCCCAGCGCAAACCAACCCCTTTTGTCCTCACCTTTTCCCTTTGAAACCCTAAGCTGAAATCCGGTAACTGTTGGGGGAGTTGGCCAATATTCTCGCCTGTCGGTGCATCACCCTCCCCCCGCCGCCCCTTCCCCTCCTCTTCCCAGTCCACTCCCCCAACACCATCCCCAGGCCTCAGACGTGGGGAAGTGACTTCCTCCCTCCTTTTCCTTTCTGGTCCTCCCCCCCCCCCCCGAGCATTTATTGTATTTTAATTTGAAAAGCGACACCTTCAAAGCCCGCGCGGGAGGCGGCGGAGGCGTCGTCGACCGCAGTCGCGAGAGCGGGGCAGAGGTGCCGGGCGTCGGGGGCTCCCCGAACTCTCGCCAGGGAAACGCGGCGCTTTTCCGGAAACTCACAGCCACCTTTGCAGCGGGTAGCTCGGCTGGGTTTGTATTTGCTGTTTTAATCCAACCCCCGCCGCACTGCCTATTTCAGAGATATGCTAATTACTACTTGGATAGCAGGGCGCAAAGTCCTTGTCCATTTCCCAGTACAAAGTAGGTTGCTAGAAAATTTGAAATTGCCTTTCAGCCTAAAGCTGCCTTACCTGAATGTCATAATTACAGTAATTATGTACATCCAAATTACATGCTAATTAAATTAGAATCAAATCGTTCTAAATCGAAATCAAATGAGGTAGTGAAGAATTAATCAATGACAACATAAATAGAGAGCTTCCTTCAGAGATATTTATTGTAACGATCCAAGGAGGAATTTGATCTGAAAAAGTCACCTGTTTATTTACTTTCCAATTAGTAATCAGTTATTATCCCTTCTCCATAATTTTAACCGTTCAGTGTTATTTACCCCCCACTCTTCCAGACGCTGGAGTTTATAGAAATATGTATGAAGTAAATACATACAGACATGCCTCCCCCATATATTATTGATATAAATATGTACAGTGAGTTTGCAACTCCAGTTAAGGAGGTGGTTTCAGATGTGGGGACACATCTCTCCAGGGCCGGTTCTTAGGGACCTGGAAAAGAGCAGCCCCTAAGCGTTATTAGGCTTTCCAAGACCTTTGCTCTCTTCCGTTGGAAACGTAGATAGGGGTTTTGCATTGTTTTGCGGGCATCTAACCGTACCTGAGTGATGCATTTATAAAAGAACTGCATAGTGATAGGGCATCACCCCCTGTCAGTTTTCTGCTTGCAGACTGCTAGCGAGAGGTGACACATTCTTGTCCCTGAAGCGAGAGATCCGCACCGGCTTTGTAAAGCGCCCTTTCACCTGTGGAGCACTAGAGATCGGAGAAATTCGCTCCCTTCCTTAAGTCCCGGCTGCGAGTCCGCCCTCCTCCCGCGCCGGGGATACACCTGGAGGTCTCCCGGGCGAGCTTAGGCGGGAACTGGCAGGCTTGGGCCCGCGGCGGCCCCGGCGGCTCGAACCCCTGGACGTTGCTTCCCAGGCCAGTAGTCAGCGGGAAACGCCAGGGGCTTTCTTTTCCTTGAGTTTGGGCCGCTGCGAGGCGGAAGGGCAGAGGACGGGTGCGGGGAAGTAACACGACCCCTTTCACCTTACACCTTTGGCAGGGAGTCAGGGTACGCAGAGGCGCAGCTTCCAGAAACGGTTTGTGCCCCCTAATTCTCAGCGTCTCCATCTGGGTTCGGGGTGTGTTCAAAAGGTCTCCAGAAGGAACGCATTGGAGTATGCTGGGTGGAGTACTACGAGGATGGCAGGGGCGATCCCACCCGGGACTCACCCTATCACCCTCCACCAGCCACCACCCCGCTTTCTTCCGGTTTAGGGTTCTGTTCTTGGAAGATCGTCTCTGGTCAAAAACCGAGTCCGCGACCTCCGCTTCTGCCCACCCGCGAGAAGCCTTAGAGCTGCAGGGGCCGGGTTTCCCTGGCTCCTCCGGCTCGGGCAGCTCGGGCCGGAGGGTGCCTTTCTTTTCATTCTGAGCAGCTCTTCGCGTTTCACCCGCACCTCTCTTCATTATTATTACTGTTCCATCCTGGGGATCCTGAGGCCGATGTTAAGTGTAGCCTGAAGGGAGGAAAGAGGTGGAAGGTGGTGAGTAGTTACAGGTTCCTTTCTGTCAGCAGGAGCCGGGTTTGGGGAGCTCAATCAGAAGAGCTCTCCGTGGTCGCTGCGCTTCTCAAACCTGAGTTCCCCAGCCGAACTTGTTCATCACAACTTTTAAAAAGCTTTCCCTCTTTTGGATCGGAAAACGCGTCCAAGGCCTACAGCTATTGGGTACCTTTCTTTATCTCTTTTCAAAAAGTGGTAACTATAGCAAAGGTTTTTTTCCAGAAAACTTAAGATTTTTAAATATCCGTCAGCTCCTGGAGTCAAAACTGCAACTTTCTTCCTGGGCTTAAGGGCGGGCGTGGGACGCAGCCTCACTGAGAGGCCTCCACCTGTTTGGGCCCAGTGAACATTGGGGAAGGAGAAAATCGAAACGGCCCCAGTGGATTTTGAACTCTTGGAGTTGCAAGACTAAAGCATACTAAATGTTTGGGGATTAAAACTGGGAATCGCCTCCTTTCTCCCCCCCACCCCTCCCAGCGTGGCCGGCAGCAAGCATTCTCCAGAACAGTGAGAAAGGTTTCGCCAAGTCTTTCAGATACAAAGCTCTCTTCGGATTACAACAGTAGGAATCAAAACAAGATCTCCACTTCACATTGCAAGGTAAGCAGATCTGCGCTAGGACGCTGCAGCCTCTCCCTATTTTGGCACTTATTAAAAGAGATTATGACTAATTTATCACCTTAGACATTCGGATAAACAAGTCCTAACCTAGCAACCCTATCTTTCCTGACCATTTGTAAATCGACAGCACCTCCTACAGGAATTAATTTGCTAGTGTTATGTTAAATGCTAGGCCGGAGAAGGGTGGAGGGGATGGCCACAGGCACCCCAAATGCTTTCTATGCCTCTGAGTGCTCTGCCAGGCCCATGGCCAAATGTTACTAGTGTACTCAGATTTCTTTAAATAATTTCTCTTTAAGGATAAGAATGACACATTTAACTAGATTAGTTTTCTAGAAAATGTCACTGTTGAAGACTTTTGTTTGGGTTCTTAAATCAAGGGTTCATTAAACTTAGGATTCTTCTTTGGCTTTCTGTATTTAGAAGAATCTTTACACATACAGTGAGACATCCTTTTTATTATGAGGTTCCTCTCTGGTATCTATCTTTCATTTCAAAAGAAAAGTAGAATTAGATGCCTTATATTTTTATTCAAAACATCACTCTCAGTTTTTTTTCCTGTATCATTAGGGTGTGTGAATACATAAGGTGAATGTTATCATGTTATGATTTTGTGTGGAAACACCTCTCTTCTGTTTTCAGGTTTACAGTTAGAATTCTTGCCTGTCTGGGCTGTCAAGTACTCTTGGGTGACCAAGGTTGAAAACCAAGCAGTAAATCAACATCTTGCCTAACTTCATGGGAATTTTTCTCACAAATGGATGGGTAAGAACACTGGGTCTTTTGATAGCATTTTAGTTTCCCAGTGTTACCAATGAAGGATGATTAAGTCAGCAATTAAAAAAATTTAAAAAAAATTCTGGTCACTGTATAAAGCGAAAAGCTACACTTTTAATAAAAGTCAAATGAAATAAATATAAGGAAGAATAATCTATTTCTTTAATTCACTTCTAATTACAGGATGCATTTCAGCATTTCTCCTCATGAACACAATATTGGTTTGGAAACCCTTTAAGGCGGTAAGTATTGCATAGGTTTTGACATTATAAAAATTATAAAGTCTAAAAAGATGTAAGGTAGAAAATAATCACTGCAACACTGATGAACTCAAGGTGTAAATTAGCAGTCTTTATCAATTTCAAATGCATGCTTTTTTAAGAAGGGATCTTTGAAGCATAGTGTAAGTTATTAAAAAATACTGTAGAGGGAATTTAAGTTTCTTCCTCCATCTAACTCTTTTAAAAACCTAAATAACCAGAGTTGTTTACACCTTTACTTAGTTTCTTTTAAATGGAGGATATTTGGGGTCAGCAGGTGGCATGGTGGTTAAGGTGCTGGACTCCCACTTTGCCAATCATGGTTTGAGTTCCTGACCTGGTGGCTTGCTTTCTCACTTTCTTTTTCTGGTGAGCATATGTGCCCTATAGAAAATTTAAAAAATAATAATAAACAAATTTCAAAATAGAGGACATTTGTGTGTGTGCAGAGGAAAAACAGACATATATTAAACGACTCGAGTGTTTTTATTTCTTTCAAACTTACTTTCTTACAGAATTTATGAAATTAACTGCCAGCTATCAAAATCATCCAACTAATATTTGTTTTGTGTTTAAATACAGATGTTTTAAAAATGTAGAATCCTGGTAACAAGCATACTTACATCCATGGCATATTTTTTTGGAATTGCATGTTACTTGTAATTGGTACAATTTTTTTCTAGTTTTCCTTTACTGTATTCTTTGAAACATGAGGGAAATGTTGCAGCTAAATGTGTATACCTTATATACCTATAATCATGAAACATCTAAGTAGTTTGTATTTTTCATTTGTTGACATCATATAAATACTTAACTTTTTGAAATCAAATCTTGAGTAGCTGCATGACAGTAATAGAAAGATTATTTGTGATGGGCAGAATAGTGGTCTTCCAAAGATGTCCATGTCCTACCCCAGAACCTGTGAATGTGTTACCTTACAAAGAAAAGGGAAATTATGGATACAAATATAATTAAGGTTACTAATTGATCTAAGAATAGATTATCCTGGATTCTTCAGATGGGACCAATGTAATCATAAGGGCCCTTAAAAGTGGAACAGGCATGCAGAATGTCAAAGTGTCAGGGACTAGATGGTGGCGCAGGAGTGACGCAGTGGCCTGGGAGGCCACAGGGAAGGGTACTGGGTTTGCTTACAGAGACCTCCCTGAACATGCTGGGCATTGTATGCTATGATCTAGGGCTGGCTAAAGTGGGGATGGATTGTGGTGTGAAGACCCTGTTGGGGTTGCCTGTCTCTCTCTCTCTCTCTCTTGCTCATGGAAGAAAAAAGTAAACATAGAAAAAAAAAAAGAATGTCAAAGTGCCAGAGTGATTTGGATATGAGAAGGATCTGGCACCTCTTTGTTAGCTTTGACAATGGAGAAAGGGGCCAGGAGCCAGGAGGAGGACTAGGAGCTGGACTAGGCAAAGAGACTTCCCCTAGAACCTCAGGAAGGAATATTGTCCTGCTGACACCTCGATTTTAGCTCTGAGAGACTCATGTCAGACTTGTAATCTCAGAACAGTTAAGATAATACATTTGTGCTGTTCCAGGTTTGAGACAATTTGTATGGCAGTATAGAAAATGAATACATCACCCAAATGCAAACAGCTTACTCTGTAAAACAGAACACCTGAAGGGAGTTTAAAAGTCTTGAAGAAATATTGATCAATCCATTGTTTAATTCACACTAGTGAATTTCAACAATGATTAATACTTTGCTTCGAGCAAAGTCAAATCTTAAAATAACAAATTTGAATTGAAAAAAAAAAAAGAAAATTAAATTATACCCATTCAATATACTGTCACTCTTTTAATGATGTTTCAGAACAAAGAAAATGTCACAGAGTTATATGGGGGTTTTATCTTGTATAGGGCATAAGAAACAGTTACCAACAGAAAATATTTCTACAGTCCCAAAATGGATTACTTACAAATAGTTGCCAAATTCATTCTTATGGTACTCATGAAGTTTTGTACTTGGAATGACAGTTTACAGAAATGGAAAATTAAAATAGAGCTTTTTTATTAAAAAGACAATAGTACATAATTTAGCCCTTGCTAAAGGTACTAGTAAGTAGAGATATTTTAACTCTCAGGTAATTGTCACACACGTCTCTTTTATTCTCTCTCTACTTCTGCTTAGTTCTCTTTCTGTCACCTTGGCATGCTTATAATCTCCCGAGTGTTCTCTGCACGTTTTTTCTTGGTATGTGTCTGTGCCATGGCGTCTGGTGTCATCTCTTCTATTCCGTTCTTCACCGGGGTTTCGCTGTGGCCATTTCTCCCTCTCCCTCTGCTTATAATTGTCGTGACTTCTGCTTCGGCTTCTCTTACCTCTCTCTTCCCTGGTACGGCTCCTGCTGCTCCCCTCATTTCTGTCAGATCCTCTCTTCTCCGGGCTCCGATGATGGCTTCTGGACTTTTTGTCACAATCAGAGTGGCTCCTTGCGCTATTCTCCCCAGAACGCTCTTGTTTTCTTTTCTTGGACTTGTCCTCTTCGGAATCGCTGTTGTGCTTCCCTGAACACTTGTGTTTCTTCCTTTTCTTCTTTTCTGCTTTTTTTTCTTTGTTGTCACTCTCACTGCTGCTCTCTGAGGTCTCACTAGAGGAAGAGGAGGAAGATGACGAAGAGGAGGAGGAAGAGGGTTTGTTTTTATGTTTTTTGTGCTTACTTTTGCTCTTCTGAAACTTTTTCTTTTTTCTATCTCTTTTCTTTTTCTTTTTATTCTTCTCAAGTCGATCCAATTTCCTGTAGTTGGGAACAAATAGTAACAGACTGTGTGAAAAATAGCTCTTTAATCCATAACTATAATGTTGTGAAGAGACAGTATGTTTTCTTAGAAGCTATTAAAAATGTATCTATAGGGGCCTGGCAGATAGCATGGTGGTTGAGGGCACTGGATTCCCTCATGGCCGACCACAGTTCGAGTCCTGGACCTGTTGGCTTGCTTTCTCGCTTTCCCTTTCTCGCTCTCTGGTCAAATTAAAATATAATAACAAATGGAATTAAGTAAATAAATATTTTAAAAAATGATATCTAATACTATTTATCCAATGGCACATCATTTTCTTTTAAATTATTCAAGGCATGTACATATTAAATGCATTAAGCCAATTTTCTGACTATATATAATCAATAGTAATGACTATTAAAAAACATTCTTTTGGTCAGAATTTGAAACTATAGAGCATTCAAATAAATGGTCATCTTGATGTAAAGAAAGCCTATACAAAGTGTGTAACATTAACTGGACCTACTATAAACTCAAATGTATAGCTATAAACAGATGAAAACTTCATTTCCGTATGTACTATTTTAAAGTGGAAATAGTAATCAACATTACACTATGAAAATTCAAGAGTATATTTTCCAGGAATTCTGAATAAGAATATACTTTAAAATGTTGATACCCTTTTTTGGTTATATGAAATAAAACTATCACATACTAGTTTTCAATAATTGTTAAGATTTATAAGTAATTAAGGCAACCCTGAACACTTGTGTTAAGGTCTGTTAAATTTCTGAGGAATGCCTCACATTCTCAGGAGAGTAATGTGTTTATATGTTTGGGTTACTCTGAAGTAAGTGTCTTTGCTGGGTTCCAGCCATTCTCAAAACTCCAGGCACTGAAGATACCACGAGCTCCCTCTATTGGACTCAGCAGACATTTCTTGGATTCTTTAATACACAGTAGTCTATTTAGCAAAATTCATATTTACCTTATAGTTAAGCATTCTTTCAGCACTCCTCTTAATGAATTTTAAAAAGTATAAAAAATATATATGGCCCAAACTATTTTATAAAAATGAGCTGCATGCAAACACATTTATTATTTTCTTTTTAGACAGAGTCTTGCTATGTCACAACCTTCCTGCCTTAGCCTTTGGAGCAGCTGGGACAAAAGATATACCACACCACGCCAGGCTTTTACGGTGGGCCAGGAATTGAACCTGGGTCTCCCATGTGACCTCGGCCTACCAAGTAGCAGAATCAATCAGAGTGTACTACTTACTGCCATTGAGCCTATATACAAATCTATCATGAAAAGTAAAACCTACAAATAGGTCAATTTTCAAATTAAATGTCCTAAAAAGTGTTATAGTTTTATGGTATAAGCTGAGTACCCAATCTTATCTTCATTTTCATATTACGGAAAAGAAAGACAAAATTGTATTACTACAGCTGAAGAACAAATCAACACACACGATGCATGGTTTAAATACTTTCATGACTCATGAGCTCAGGATCAGAGCTGTATATGGTACTGAGATGAAACTTTAAAACTTTTTAATTACCTGAGAAGTTTCTGTTTTTGTTTGGTTGTTAGTGACTTCAAAAATTCAACTTCTGGATCTTCTTCACCCTCACTTGCAACATACTCCTGATTCAACAAAGACATCATTAATTGCTAGGTTTCAGGACAGATTAATTTTCAGGTAGGAGAGAAAACATTTATGAATAAGAAATTCTGTACCTAGGGACAAACTGTAGATAAATAATATGATATTTTGAATTGGGAAGTAGGAAGACATTTAAAAAAATGTTTGTAGTCCATCTGCCCAGGTAGATCACACTAAGAAGTTAATATGACTGCTCTGCCGGCATTAGGAAACTATCAGGAACGGAACGAGAGAGAAAGAGAAAAAAACCTTTATAGCATGAGTCTCACTCTCTACTTCTTGAATTTCAATATCTGCCTTTAAATATCTTCTTTTTAATTTACTGAAATATCAAATCAAGAAGATCATGCATTAAAAGAAGGTCAACATGTCTATAATTTAAGCCTTTATGATTTCATGGTATGTTATCAAGTAAATATATGATAATATAGCCTTTCAAATTTGACCATTTTCTGGATCTATATATAATTTAATAAACGCATTTAAAATATTTTCTATGAAGTTTACAGGTTTGTATTTATGTAATTCTTCCCATCGGTTCTATTTAATGTCACTTCAGGGGTACGTTAGCAGGAAGGAAAACAAAAACCTTATCACCAGTTGAGTTAGATGTTTTATCCACCTAAACCCAGAGGAGCAGTTTCATTTATTAAAATACAGGTTTACTAACAATTTCTCATTTAGGTTAAAATAATAAAGAAGCAAAATCAAAATACATTTTAGGCATTTTCTTTGCTCCATCTTACCTTCCTATAGGGATATATGCATATTGAAAAACATTAAGTAGCAATTCACAAGCAATCACATTTAGATTTATAGACATTTTCAGCTTACTGATAAAAAGATCATTACCTGTGATGGATCATTTGCGGTCAAGTTTCTCCCCAGTACATTTCGTTTCAGTGCAAACCCACTGTTTCTCATCTCCGCTATTAGCTCCGAGGGGTGCATCGATGGCCCTGTTCACAAAAATCACAGTTTGAATGTATCATTTATATCTCTCTACCTTTTTCGGACTCCACAGTAGGAATGCAGTTGAAGCTTTGTTAAGTAAAATCACACCTAAATCAACTCAATAATCTTCTGCTGAGCAAATAATCAGATATGATTTTCTAAAACAGCAGTCTGGAGATTCAGAATAGAAAATAATTGCATTTTTCTTTACGTGCAAGGGGATTCTCTTCTTATGTAACTTTGTCATATTGAAAAAGATACATTCAGATGTCCTCTGGTTGGCAGTTTTTAGTATAAAAAAATCAAAGAAAAATGATTAAAAAGCTGTAATTAAACTTCTAATACTCTCCTGGTAAGAGTTCAATTTTAAAAAGATACTTTTAAAGGCACATAAGCAATTTATTATCTTAGTTTCCATTTCAAAATTCCTCACCCTTATTTACCAAATACCAATACTGAGTACATTGGCGTGTGGCTGCTAATTATTGACAACACACAAAACATGCTATGGGTAACTCAAGTACTTTAGTTAATCTCATACATATTACACTTAGATTTTAAATTTTCCAGTTACAAGTTTGGGGTTAGTGACAGGCAATTTTATGCTGGCTGTAGAGGTGTGTGTGTGTGTGTTTATATATATATATATGCACACACATATAAAATCCTTTTTATATACACACACACATATATAAAAGAATTATTTTATTTAGCCTTATTTATTTAATTTATTTATTTTAATGTGACCAGAGAGGGACAGAGAGAGAGAAAAAGTGAGAAAACAAGCTGCCAGGTCTGAAACTTGAACCACGGTTGGCCATGTGGGAGTCCAGTGTCCTTAACCACTACACCACTTGCTGGACCTGGTGTGTATATATGTATTTTTTTTTTCATGAGTTGCTCCTTTCCACTTTTGCAAATCCCAAACTGAAAAGTGAGCTTCTTTTTTTTTTTTTTTTTTGGAGAGGTTTTTGCTATAGGGTGCATGCGCTCGCCAGACAGACAGAGAGAGACAGAGACAGAAAGCGAGAAATCCCCCCCCAGGGGGTACGGCCACACCGCAATCCCTTCTCCTCCATTCTCCTCTCGGGATCTTGGGCACGCACGCACACGCGCCCGGCATGAGTTTAAGCCACCGGGTCCGGGACTCGAACCGCGGTTGACTACGTGGGAGTCCAGCAACACAGCCATTACGCTAACTGCTGGTCCCAAAAGTGAGCTTCTTTTTGATTCTATAATATGAATAACAATGAAAAAATATGTATATTTTAAAGATCTGCTCCTTCCCTCAAACATAAAGTTTACATGAGGTAAGAGATAGTTTCCTCCTTCTTTTCTATATCCTGTTTCATTTTGTTTCCCTATAGGTAGCAAACCAATGACAGTATTTCACGGCAACTATTTCAATTTTTTAGCCTAGGGACCAGCAGGTGGCATGGTGGTTAATGCACTGGACACTCCCACATAGCTGACTATGGTTTGAGTCCCAGACCTGGTGGCTTGCTTTCTCATCTCCCCCCAACCACCCCCGTGTATCTCTCTTTGGTCAAGTTAAAATAAATGAATGGATAGATAAAATTAAATAAATAAAATTTCTAGCCTAAATCATATACATGGCTTAAATGAACTACCCTAGGTGATGTTCCTCTAATTGAAGGAAGAAAAGACAGATCTTGTCAACAAATTCATAAGGGAGGATGGGGGATAGAGAAATACACAAAAATGGATTCTCTAGTTTGTGGATTAAATACTTAAAAAAGGGCCAGAGGTCATGTGAACTTTCAGAGAGAGAGAAGAGAAGGTAGGAGGAGGAAGGAGGGGAGAGAGGAAGGGGAGGAAGGAGAGAAAAGGAGACAGTGGCACCACCAAGGGGGTATGGTCACACTGTAATCCTTTCATCCCTCGGGATTTGGAGCATGCACCTGCACATAGCATGTTTTTCAAGATGTCAGGACAATATTCAAACTATGGTCAGCCATGTGGGAACTGGCTTCCTTAACCACTAGATTAATACTTTTTTATTTTTTTATCTTTTCACTGCTTTATTGGACTTTTACCACTTATTTGCATGTTCACCTACATGTTAACATGGAAAGCAAAAGGCAATCAATTAAAATCTGTTCACTTGTCAGTAGCAGATCTGATAAATAAAATTGGTGGGAAAAGGTCAAGTAGAAGTTAATATCCTTTACTAGATTCTCTGGGCTTTATTGATCTATTTATATTGTCAAGAATAACTGAAAGTTTGCTCTAAGTACCAGGAAGATGATAGGACAAAACTGCCTATTACTGGAGTATAGGGGAATTGCTAATGTGATACTTTTAATTTATTAGGGGGAAAGGCTGCATTTAGTTGAAAATAAAATAGCGTGCCAGCCAGGTGGTGTCGTGGTTAAAATGGCTGGATCCCACATGGGCGAGTGCATGGTTTGAGGCCCAGACATGGTGTTTTGGAAAATATGCTAGGTGTGTGTGAGTGCCCAAAATCCCAAAAGGAGAATGGAAATGGGATTGTAGCGAAGTCATCCCCCTGTGGGGGTAATTTCTCTCTTTTCCCCTCTCTCTTTCTCTCTCTCATGGGCACATGTACCCTACAGCAAAAACATAAACAACAAAAACAACACAAACAAAAACACTATAATGCACAGCTGTTATTTCATTCTATTAATATTTTAAAATAATTCAAGATTTCTTGTTTTTCTTAGATACATAAGATATTTAGTTCCTATGTATTACTTAGTGATCTTTTTTTTAAAGAATAAAAAGACATTTGTTTGTTTGTTTGTTTGTTTGTTGTGACTTTCAAGCTGCTGAGACCAGGACTTGAACTGCAGTCAGCCACGAGAAAATCCAGTGCCTTAACCACCATGCCGCCAGCTGGCTCCTACTTAATGATCTTTTAATTCTCAGTTTAGTTGCTAATAGTGATATAATATAATCTTTAATAATAACAACTGAATTTTAAGTACTAATAATGGTTATCTCTAAATGGCATGAAAGTGGTCATATAATTAATAGTTTTAAACAAATAATAGAATGCCCACTTTGGTAGCTTCTCAAATTTCATATGCAGAAACATAATTTTATAAAATAGAAAATGCCTTTCTGAAGTATCAAAAATGTATTCCTGTGTCAAGAACTTTATTAGATGTCATGTGAATTCAGAAAGCAAACATGGAAGAATTAGGATAGAAATTGCCCTAGTAAAAGGGCAGAGGGCTTGGCTCTTATGATGAACCATGACTGATTTCATCAGCTTTCATAAAAAGATGGGCAATTTATAAAAATAATTATTTATTTAATTTTACTTATTATTATTATTATTCAATCTGACCAGAGGGAGACAGAGAGAGAAAGGGAGAGTGAGAAAGCAAGCTACCAGGTCCAGGAATTGAACCACAGTTGGCCATGTGGGAGTCCAGTGCCTTAACCACCCCCCCAACCTGCTGGCCCGAGGATAGGCAATTTAATAAGATCTTTTAGAAAACATGCCTTCTATTCAGTACTTCCAACCATTTAAAGAAAATAACCTATTTCCCCAGCGTACGGTGATTACACAGATTACAAAACAAACCTAACTGTTATAACATTAATATTTCGGAAACATCCCAACTGACCTCTTTGTGCACTGCATAAACTTAGGATCCATTTCCACTTTGTAAGACTGTAAATACAGTGCTTAGTGACACACCTGATGGTACTGCTCTGTAAACAGTTAAAAACCAGTAGCTGTACGACTTTCATAACTGTGCTACAGTTTTCATAATTATTAAAAAATGCTTTAGTAACATTTAAAAAAATATTTAGTCTTATTCATATATTTCTGTACTAAAGTCTTCCATCATCAAACGTTCTAGGTTTAAAAGCTGTGATAAATCAGGTTTAATGAAGATATATTTAACAAGATTATCTTTATACTTTTATGTCATTGTGACAGTGCCTATGTAGTTATATAGGCAGAAAAGACTCCAGGCTTCTGAAAGTCAAATTTAGCTAATATAATAGATTATACAGATATGTTGATAAAATTCTGGGTTGTCAGAAAAGTCACAATGTATTTTTCCGTGTTTTTGTTTTTTTAATGCAAAAATGACATGACTTTTCCCACTAGCCCAGAGGTTGCACAGATAAGTCAAAACACAAAATAACTAATATATATGGTGCCTTAATCATTTAAATTATAGCTGGAGTTGGGCCTCAGGTTTTTTTTTTTTCCTTCCTATTGCTTTTGTTTAGTTCTTTGAAAATGCATGCTCACAGCAAGTAGAGAAAGCTTTTTACAAACATAATTTTGTAAAATATAATTTTTAAAAAAATTATTTTATTTAACATTATTTATTTATTTGAATTTGACCAGAGAGGGACAGAGGGGGCAAGAGAGAGAGAGAGAGAGAGAGAGAGAGAGAGAGAAAGGAAGCCACCAGGTCCAGGATTTGAACTATGGTCGGCCATGTGGGAATCCAGCACCCTTAACCACTTTGCCACCTGCCGGCCCCATTTTGTAAAATATAATTTATCTTACGAGAACTTTTTTCCTTTCTTAAGACACTGATTTCATGGCATTTTTCTCACAGAAAATAGTCGGGGTCTATTCAAGACATGGAACTTAAAGCCACAGTTGCCATCAGCAGTTTGATACCCATACTACAGCAAGGAAGTTTGCAAAATAAATGAAGAGTGAAAGCGGTTTCTTTGGTAGACTGGTTTTTCTTGGTTGAAATGTTGGTCTTTTTTTTTTTTTAAATTAATTTTATTATTATTATTATTTTGAAATTTGCTATAGGGCATGTGCACTCATGAGAGAGAGAAAGAGAGAGAGGGAGGCGGGAGAGGAAGAAAGGGTAATGGGGGAGGGAGAGAGAGATAAAGCAAGTCGCCAGGTCTGGGATTTGAACCTCAGACTGTCATGTGGGAGTCCAGTGCCTTAACCACCACACCACCTGATGGCCCCAAGCTTCCTCTTATATTTACTGGCAGCATTCCACAGAATCTGTTCTAAAATATG